GCTCAGAGGAAGGCCGGACGCGCTGTGCGGGGGGAGGGGTTCGGAGGACTGGGGGAGCCTGGAGGGCTGGGTGGGCTGCCTCGGAGGGGCGTGTTCGGGCAGGGGGGTCCCTAGCGAGCGCGACCGAGGGGTGGGGCTTGGGAGGGGTGGAGAGCTCGGAGGGCTCGGAGGGCTCGCAGGGCAGAGAGGCACGAGGGTGGCGCTGGAGGGCTCGTGGGGGCGCGAGGGCTCATGAGGGATGGAGTGCCCGGAGGGCTCGGAGAGGCGAGCCGCCGAGCCGGGCTCAGGGTTAGCTCAGGGACGCCACTTCCGGCACAGCCAGAGGGGGCTCCAGTAGGGCTCGCAGGTGTCTGGAGGGCTCAAGTAGGGCTCGGAGCGGTCTGGAGTCCGAGCCCTCCGCGCCCTCCGCGCCCTCCGCGCCCTCGGATGGAGTGCTCGGAGGGCTCGGAAGCGAGACGCCGAGCGCCGGGGTCGGGGCCACGTCGCACGTGTGGGGGGCTCGGAGCTGCGGAGCGCTCGGAGGGAGCTCAGTCCTCTCAGAGAGTTCAGAGGGCCCTCCGATCAGAAGCCGCGACTTCGCATTTTTTTGGTTGCGCCCCCCCATCCCCTGCCATCCGCCTCCGGGCGTGAGTGTCCCCCCAGCGTCTGCTCTCCAGCAGACGCTCCTGTAATCAGGCCGTGAGTACCAGGCAGGAGAGGGGAGAACAGCCCAGGGAGAGAGGAGAAGAGCCGCCACGAACCCTGCCACCTGCAGGAAATTGCCTGCGGGTGGATCCCCACGGGGGAGGAGCTGCCGACCCGTTCGGCCTCCCTCTCCCTCCCCTCCCACCGGGCCTCCCTCTCCCCCTCCTACCGCCAAGCACCAACAGTCTCGAGGGGCCAGCCGCTGGAGGGGGCACGCCAGCGGCACGAGGGCTTCAGCCACACAGCTACCATGGGAACGCGACCCACACAAAGCACCAAAGTTAGGCATACCCCCCGGCGCAGTGTCCCCCGCTATGTGTCGCCGTTCGTCGGGGCACGCTATCCTGTGCAGTCAGGGCAAGTGGGGGCGGGGCGGACAGCCCAGGAGCGTGCTCCTGGGACCTCTCTTCCCAGTCCGGCTCCGGG